GGAGTTTCTCTCTTTCTATACTTCTGCTCCGCTTTCTAGCATGGCTGAGGGCTGACCCCAGCCCAAAGGTCTCCCAGGCACTGCCAGCCCCTTCCCTCAGGGGCTGCTTTATGCATGAAGGGAGTGGACTGAAAGCCAAGAGTATCCTGAGGTCTAATCCCTGCCAATCTCCTTGTTTAGCATGTGCCACCAGGTCAGTTGCTTGGCCTACTTAGCCCAGCCAGCCAGGCCTCCCTGAATACACCCAGGATCCACTCTCTGAGAGAGCAGGGGCGCCGGGTAACCCCAGCCAGGCATTGTCCGGGAAGAATGAATTCCAGAATCTCCCCTGCTCCAAAGCCAGCTCCAGGCTCCCCTTGAGTTAGTGCTGAGCTCAGTAGGTGCTGGCGTGTGGAGGGCAGCTGCCGGGGTGACCACCGGGAGCTAGCGATGAAGGGAGGGAGAGCCCGAGCGGGGATGGTCCGTGCCTTGGGTCTGCTGGGGCTTCTGATGTGTTCTTGCAAAGATTTGCTTTATGCTCTTTGGCGAAGTTCTCCAAAGCAGTGCGGGGTCACTTGAGCCTTGTCTGGGGGGGTCCATGTGCACATTGGAGGATGGGCGGGGGCGGTGCATGCACCTGTGCGGTGGGCTGTGTGCACACATGGGTGGGTGCATGTGCATGTAGGACGGGGTGGAGGTGCTCGTTGGGGTGGGGGAAGGGCAGGCGTGCATGTGCTGGGATCGCTCATCTCCTGCACCAGGAAAAGCCACTGGATGGGCTTAACTTCATCAGCGCTGCCCTCCCCCAACTCCCCAGGAGCAGCAAGCGCCAGGACTCTGCTAATTTCTAACCAAACTCTCCGTGCCCCTCCCCGTCACGTCAGCCAGGGGCAGGCAGGCCAGGAGGGGGGCGAGGAAACTGAAGTGGTCAGGGACCTGCACTTTGCTAGAGAGGCCGCAGAGATGACACTGGTCCCTGCTGCACTGCAATCTATCAGCTGCCCCCTGCGAGTCAGCTGGGACCTGGGTTTAACAGGGGGAGGGGGAGCTCTAGGTGTGGGGGAGGAGAGAGGATGGAGAAAGCCCAGTGGTTGGCCCCAGGGCTGAGCGACTGACTCCTGGCCCTCGCTGCCCACCTGCCCCAGCCCAGCTGCGGAACCCAGTTCTTTGGCTCCCCTGTTCGGTGCCCCCCACCCCTTTGCCCCTCCGCTCCCTTCTTCCCTTCCCTGCACCCCTCCGCCCCTTCTCCCCCTCTGCTGCACCCCTCCGCCCCTTCTCCC